AAACTCAAAAATATAAAGGAAATATATTTCTACATACACACAGAGAGCAAGATAAAAATACACAGTACAGTTACTTAGGAATTTCCCAACGTTTATGTGGATTTTATTTGAAGGAGTATATATGTATTTATAAATTTCTTTAGTTTGTTTTGTCTAATTATATAAATACATACTAATCGGAAAAGTTTATAAAGTACCAAAGTGCATTAAAAAGTATAAAATTCATAAACATATCCATGACAAAGTTACTTATGTGTTTTCTTTTTCCTATGCCTCTTTTCTTATTCATACTAAGAATCCTAAAGAAATCTGTCCTTTTAGTTTTCCTGTCCTGCTTTTATTTTTCTTTCTTCCTGCCCTGCTTTTAAATAGTAACTTGGCTGTCATATTCCCCTGGGGGCTCTTGCCTGCCTATTTCCCCAGGTGTGGAAGTTGTTTCTATCTGGTCTCCGGTTACCTTTCCTGGCCTTGTGGGACATGTTTGGCAATTAGCTGGGACTACAGCAGCTGCTGCAGCCAAGGGGTTACTCTTGGAATAAAAGGTGTTTATGCTGCAAACTTGAAAGGAAAGGGAATTTAGGGGGAGAAAAATTTAATTGGGGGTTGTATTTAACTGCATCCCCTTTCAAGAAACCACTACTACAAGAATCAACATCGTCCGGTGACCCTTCTGATCTTATTAGCAAACAATGTCTTTAAAAAAAAAAAAAAAGTGACTGCTAATAGCGGTACACACTTTCTTGTGTTCTACCTTTGTTACTTGATTTTTTTTCTTCTTTACCATTTTAGTACTGAGAATTCATGTTACGAGAAATTAAGCCACTCACACACTAAACTATATTATTTCAAGGTAATTCAGGTTAGTTCTTTAGTTTATGGTTCTGTGACCTTTTAGCTTTAATGAAAAAAGCTAAACTTGCTCCAGTTTTGGGTTTAGAAAATCCCTCAGCCCTGGAGGTGCTCCAAGTGCTAAAACACTTGCAGTGGGATAAAAGGTTGAAGGGCAAGGTCAAGTCCAGAGTAGAGGACTAGAACTTGCCCGGCTGCCCTGAAGGCAGTTTGAGTTGGAACGGCTGGACTCAGAAGTTGGGTTCTAGCTCAGGAATAACAGTTTGGCCAAGGTGGCCCTGGCACGAATGATTCCACAGCAACCTGCAGGATATGAATGAAGGTTGTTCTTAATACACAGTTCTCAATACACGGGTGTGTATACCAGTGGCCTTGTCCTAGCGGCTGTCTCATTAGCCTGCACTTAATGGAAGCTGGAGATAATACAACTAAATTTTTTTTTTTTAATTATAGAGAGAGAGGAAGGGAGTGGGAGAGAGAGAAAAACATTGATAGGAGAGCAAAACATCAATCAGCTGCCTCCTGCACATCCCCCACCAGGGATGGAGCCCAAAATCCCGCGTGTGCCTTGTCCAGGAATTGAACCAGCAACCTGTCAGGACACCCGGTGGCACTCAACTGGGCCACGCCAGCCAGGGCGCAACTACTGCAACTAAAGTTCTTATAAAAGGGTAATCTCAGAACCTTACGGCTGGAAAGCATGCTTGGATCCAAACCTAAATGGGTGCTGGGTGAAAAAGGTGTCAGGATTAAGAAGAAAAAAAAAAGTCACAGGGACAACAGTATGGTGATCACCAGAGGGTGGGGGGGGCAGGAGAGGGT